TAATGATTGTTTTCAGACTAGGTTGCTCGGACTCGGGTGCAGATGTCTGATACGGGTGTGGATCTAGAGCTGGGATCCTTCATGATCTAAACTTTAAGATTTGGGTAACATATCGGGGTACAAATATGGGTGTGGGGATTCAGTTAAAAATAATTCAAATATCTAAAAATACAATTATAAAAATATGTCTAAATTATGAGATATTATGTGGAAAACTTACAAGATATTCCAAGAAGGAGAAAATATTGATCAAGAGGAGAATCCAAAGGAGATAAAAGGAAAAAGACTGACATAGAAATTTCTATATACAAAGTATTCCATTTTTTTAATTCCACCCTAGCTTTTGTTTTGATTTTAGAAATAACTGTATCTATCTCGATCTTTTTTATGAATTTATACCTATCCCGAATTTCTCGGCCAATTTTGGTCAGAGCACCCAAAATCGGTTGATCCGGTACGGATAGCACACCCACATCCACACTAACACCCACGTCGTGTTGACACGATGCGGCACCAAAAGTGAATAGTCCAGCAACATAGTTTTCAGAATAATAATAAGTGGATTTACACTTGTTTGGGAACAGTTCTACAAACAATTAGCTACAAACTCACCCTCTCTTGTCAATCTTTATCCTTGCCACCACTCTAACCTCCAGCCTTCATTTGGTGATTCTGGCTTTGACTTCCTCACGGAGCCCCTCCCACAAATCGAGAACTTGGTAATGGAAGGCCTTGATTTTCTGTTAGAATTCCGAGATCAGATACCACCAATTCCTAGGAGGCCTCTAGGAACTCAAAATTCTGAAGTATTCACTTTGTCCATAGGTGCTTTCGGCCCTTTCGACCTCTTCTCCCTCCTTATAGATTGTTCACACCCCTCCTCCACTCTTTTAGATGCCCGTCATCCTTCATATCAAATCGCAAAAACCTCTCATGATGTTTTTTTTAGGGGATTCAGACGGCTAGACAACACAGACTTTTGACATACGTCTGCTATCTTTTGTTCAGTCAAAGCAGACGGAGCTGAGCACTTAACAGATTGCTTCTTTCTTGCTTGCTTTTTTTCCTTCTTTTTTCATCTATAACCAAAAAATCCGTGTTTCTAACTTTGAAACTCGACGGATATTGTACCCATACCTCTACTGACCTCCACTTAAATACCAAGCCGGGTTCACTGATTCGAGTTCGAACTTGTAACTTGTGCTTACCATACATCTTATACTAACTTTTCTGTTGAACCAAGCCTTGGTCAGATTGCTTGTTTCCAGTTATCGTCAATAAGAAAGAGAAACCCCTATAAGCACACACTTTTAAGTATCAAGAAGTGCCAAATGAAGAATTACCAACTTGTTGACAAGGTCGTGACAAAGCTCAAATTTTCGCCTATTTGTTCTTAGAAAAGGATTGCATAATATTTCAATGAAGATTCCATTAAACTTTATAGTTTGGTATGAAGAAAAATGTTTTCCGTATCCAGTTTACTCTGAACAAATTACGTTCCATTAGAAGAAAAAATGACTTCTCTCACATATCAGCGAAGCCTTTTTCATTTAGAAATATCCAGATCTACTCCATATCACTTGTTTCAATCAAGATTTTTCTAATAACCGAGAAATCCCTGAGGGCTAGTGGTGCACAGTTCGAAATTTGGGGTTTAATGGGCCTGCTCCTCTACCCCCTCCTCCACTTAGATATCAGACTTTTGTCAATGGCAGGGTTTGAACTAGTGATGTGCATCCAACATTTAGAAATTGATTGTAGCCTTCAATAATAAAGATATATCACCAAGACACGGTCTTTATACCCTATCATACACCTTGTACTACTACCATATATCACATATTTTTACACCCAGCCAAAAACTGGAAACCGACATAGAAAAAAATTACAAAGTTAAATCTTTCCATGGAAGACATTTTGCTCCAATCCAAAGCACCAAAAATAGCATTCACTTCTTGATATTGCATAAAAGTACATATGGCGGGAAGGTTAGAAAGGTGAAAATGGTTCTTTTGCCCCCCAAAATAAAGGACGTAAATTCAAGAAACAACATCAATCAAGGAAATTTAGGGTATGAACAAAATGATCATGGTTCCTTTCCACCTAATTTTGGCCAGGCCGCACAAAAATATTAGAAAGACTTTCTCAAGCAAGAGAATGATCAAAGGAAAGAGTGGGCAGCTAGTGGAAGTCCAATTACCTTGTTATTGTAAAATTCAGCCATCTGCCAACTTTCTTCCACGTGTGCAATAGGCATACTCAAACCTAGAGAGCACCAACATCGTCAACAAGTGGACTGGGACTTAACAAAGTGAAGAACTTAGAGAATATCCTACCACAATCCTTTCCAGTGTAAGCTATCCATGCCAGGGCCGTCAGACTGTCAACAGCAGCCTTCAAGTGATTGAAGAAATCAGGTCGCCGTCCTTCTATCATTTTTGTAGCTTTCACAATCACATCATTCAAAGGCTTAAGAAATTCAGCCAAACCAGACATGTCAGGTTTCTGCACGATCAAGACCAAAAGTGAGCATAATATGGGTGCATAATAAAGAAAAGTATATTTCAAACACGTAACAGATTCGTTTGTTAAATCAGAGCACATTATCACAACAAGACATCTCAAGCACCTTTTTCATTCACTATGTTTTCTATATAATGAACAGCATGCTGTTTAACAGATAGTCCATTGACAGTCTATAGCTGCAGTGTGTGTCTTGCATTAAATGAAAGGAGATAAACTTGAAAGATTCCACATAACTTGCATAAGATATTACATTTCAAAGTGATAAAATCAACACCTATATTTTGACAAAAATTGCGAGTGCAATCCAAAATCTCGGATAGCTCACGATTGTTTCAATTAGCATAACTGCAGAAGTTACCGATAAGACCCTTTTTTTATAAGTAGAAGTTACCAATTAGACTTGTTCTGCTTCTGAGCTCTATCTTCTCCATGCAGTTGAAACAAGACTTCTTATCCTCCAAATTAACCCCTCTTTCCAGAGATATTACAAGTCCTATCCAAAAAGCCGGACATCTCCTGACTGTTTCAGTTAGCAGAATTCACCAATAAGACCTATTCCAGCTCTTGAGTACAATCACCTCAATGCACTTGAAACAAGTCTCCCAAAGCTCCAAATTAGACTATTCATATATTGTAAGAATCACACGTACTTTTCCACTCTCATGATGCACAAACAAACCACATGAAATACAACAACGAGAAAACAAAAGGTACATGCTATATAAGTTCTAGCATTTGTACTACTAAAATTAAATAGACATACCGAAGTAAATATAACTTCCGTCATAATTGTTCAACTGTTAATCGACGCAGTCAACTAGTATATCAGATTTTAGACAGTGAAAGTGTATCAATCAATTACGTTTCTATCTCAAACTAGTAGGAATCAGCTATACAAAAACCTCTCAATCTATTACGTTCGATATACTGAGCTAATTTAAGAGAACTAATAACCTGAGTCTGCCTGATTTTGATAAGAAGTTCACGCTGAGCTTCAAAAGCCTCCTCAACAATCTTTGTCACATCCAAAACTCGTCCTCCAATCTTCTCTGCAGCACTTCGAACTCTCCTGACGAACTGAGACCTCAGATCGTCAAAGGCAATAATCGACGGATCTAAAACCGCCGCAGCTTCGCCCTCCCCAGGCGAAACTCCTCCGCTGAAGCCGCCGGCTGACAGTGCCTCAAGCCGTGTGACGGCGGACTCCAGTCGCTGTATCAACTTCTCATCCATCGGCAACGTCAACGCGTGAAGCTAGAAAACGCTCTCTATCAATCTATCCTCTAGAAATGAAGTTGTGATTCGTAGATAGAGTAGATCTGATGAGCGTGTGTGTGTTGTTGTGATGTTTCTGTGTATGTGTGGAGAATGTTTGTGATAAAGTTATTTGAAGTGTTTACTTTTGAAACGCCGAAAGGGGAAAAAAGAGAAATTTTGCGGATGTGGAATATTATTATGTTTGCTGTCTCAAGTTTTGGCAATTGGATTTGAGGGCCTACCCGTGTCTGATTAAGTAGAAAATGATTGTCTTTTCTGCGTTGTAACTCACCTGGAAAGTGTCAAGTCATTTGTTTTTCTTTATTCTCTTTAATATTTCTTCCTTAATAGTAATAATCTCCCTTTGGGACATAGATAAAATTGGAAAAGTACACACAAATCTAAACACTCTCCAAACTGATTAACGGCGACGACATTTTTTTGGAAATATTTCTATTTATTTTCTAGAAATAGCTTGTCTCTGTATGATTTATTTTAATATTTCAAAGAGAGTAATTGCATTTGGATTAGAATAACATTAACTAACCCTCCCCTTTTCTTGCTTCAACATTTGTTTTCCAGAATTGTTCCGATTATCTTAAAACATTTTAAACAGAGTATAGTCGAAACTAATGACAGCGTGCTGTAAGATTCCTACCCTCCAAGTTTACTTTACTTCACTTAATTGTGTATAAAAAGGTTGTGGAAAATATCAAGATAGTACCGGTTCAGATTTTGCTTGTAATTTTGAGTCAAACACAATTTGCAGATCAAGATAAAAGGATTTCTATCTATAATTTACCAATATTGCTCATATGAGACATTGTTCAAGTGGTAAGATTGAAATCCTGAAAATGCCGAAACGATGAGCAAATAGTGGAGCAGCCAGTTGCGGAGGCAAAATTTTCGCTAAGAGGTTCAAAAAAGGAAAAAGTTAAAAAAAATTAAAAGAAACTATGGCCAGTGAAAATTGAACCGGCAACCTAACATAGATTTTGAACCCCTATGCTTTTGGATTGTGTCAAGGGCATTCAAAATATAATATATAGAGGTACAAACCAGATTTTATTTTCTATATACAGTGTAATTTTCCAGTGAAGGGGGTTTGGGTAAATTCCCTCCTGCCCCAAATCCGCCCTGGGAGCAGCCGGATGCAGCATTGGCTACACATCTTATACAATAAACACCCAATCGTTGAAACTAAAAGAGACACCATGTTTGATAAATAATTGCACTGATGAAGCAAGTTAAATCAACAAGAACGTTACTTCACAAAAATGTCATCTTGCCACCCTAGAGTTCTTAAAACAGTAGCATCAACCTTTTCCACATTTAATACGATGCTGGTCCATATTTTCACCAATTTGTATGTATACTAAATAGAGCCATCTCAACAACCGAAAGACAAGGGAAAGAACAAAAAAAGGAGACTTCAACAGTTTCCTTTACTTTATTAAATCCTAGGAAGCTATAAAATTTCATTGTATCTCAACTCAAAAATTAACCAAAAGTACTCAGCGATAGAGGCTTTCAGATCTAAGATTCTCAGCAATCTCAGTTTCCCATCGATCACCATTCTCAAGAAGCTTCTCCTTGTCGTAAAGAAGTTCCTAATGGATTAAGCAACGCATTAGTCAAGCAGTGTAGTTATAATCCACATTTTCATGCTTTGGAACACAGATTTTTTGTATATCTCCACTTTTGCTTTGACACATAGTGAATTTAGTTATTACTACAAACCTCATGAGTCTCAGTTGCAAATTCAAAGTTGGGCCCTTCAACAATTGCATCAACAGGACAGGCTTCTTGGCAGAATCCGCAGTAAATGCATTTCGTCATGTCAATATCATACCTGTAAAATTCAATTTACACATAAGCATGGGTGATGGATGTCTGAATAGCTACTATGACACTGAAAGAACCACCCGTAGTCTACCTAGTCGTCCGACGACTCCCATCCTCTCGGGCCTCGGCCTCAATAGTGATAGCTTGAGCAGGGCAAATCTGTTAAAATTCCATTTTTATTTGTTTCAGTATTTAAGACACATCAATCATACCATATATAATTGAAGTAGGCGAGTAACATCACTGACACGAGCCATAGATTAAATTAGGCAGCAGCACGGTTCATAATGGTGGATGCAGCAATCCTTTGAAGAAAGGATGAAAGATCACTGATCTAGCTCTATGGAAGCTCCTTTTTTTTCTAGTTTGGTTTGTCACAATGTTAACTAAGGAAGTTTAAGCATTCGCCATACTGGTGACCATTTTATAACACAAATTTACGTGCTGTATGCTTTTACACTTCTTGGAGCTGCTCTATAAAGTATAAATTGCATTTGCTTTTTCCAGACAAGCATGCTGTAATTGTCACAGCTTTCACAAACTTGAGAGTAAAGCATACATTATCAACTCTCACATTTAATCACCATGCTAACTGATCGGAAAAACATGAGATGTTTCGAGGTTGAATGCAATAAACTAACTACATTCTACAGAAGCATCTTAGGGCATTTTGAACCCTATTCTGTTCCGGTTAATCAAGGAATCCCAAGGGCCAGTAGTCGTGCTGATGCACAGTTTGCAGACTAGCCCTGCCCCTCTACCCTTCTCCACTTAAATACCAGGATTTTGTCTGCTGCAAGATTCAAACCCGTCACTTGCGCCTAACCCGCATATTACACATTGCACTCTTGCCACTAGACCAAAGTCTTGGGGGCCATCATGAACTTTCTTCAACCACTACACCCTTTTTTTAGTGGGGAGGGCAGTCAAGAAAAATAACTGCCGGGACAACAAAACTTACGCCTGAACATTTAAGTGCATACACTACCTTGAAGTCAAAGTAGAAGCTACCAAAAATACAAGCAGTTTAGTATCAATTACAAAAATAAAAGACCAACTCTGATATTCTACCATCTCAAAGTGTCACATTATAACATGACAGTGCACACGCAGGCATCTAAATAATTCATGAGGGTAACCAACGGTGATCAATGTTGGACGTAAGCAAGATGCAAAGAATAAGATGCATCACTGTCCTATTTTTTTTTAAACTGAGAAATCTCTTGTGGCAGCATTTGGCGTGCAGGTCCAAAACTTGGGAGAGTATGCGCGCACCCCTCCACCCGCTCGCACTTAAATACTAGGTCTTAGTCCTCGGCAGGGTTCAAACTGGTACCAAACATCCCTCATTGTACTTCCTTTACCACTAGACCAAAGCCCCTATGGAAACTATATCTCACTGTTTCAGCTATTATTAGTTATTCCAAACTAGCACTTACAGCTTCACAAAGTTTACACGCAATGCATCTTTCCTCTCCAGTTGGGTAACGTCGAAGAGCATGTTCTCCACGGAAACGAGGGCTTAAAGGGCCCTTCTCAAATGGATAGTTAATCTGCAAAGTGAAAATGGTTATCAGATTTTTTGCTCAATTGAGGTAAAGACACCATAAAATGTAAAAATCACCGAGAAGAAGGTATCAGCAACAACTGGTTTTGTTAAGGGGCAGCTCATGATGTTCATATCGATCTATTATGCGCCTCCGCATCTAGTAATTAGCATGTTTTTTTATAATTAGCATGTTTTTTTTCTTCTAAACCTGTATGCTTTCCTATTCAGCATGTCTACTGCTATTTAGTTCAACTATGTGCCCTGTTATCACATGTCTACTTATCTCATTAGATCTTGTGCTTCATGATCATTGTTCCCAATCAGCATGTTCACTAGACTCTATGCCTACTGCTATTCAATTTAACCTATGTGCTTCCTTGTAATTAGCATGCCTTTCTCCTGCTTAATCGAACCTATGTGTCTACTGCAATAACATGTCTACTTCTGTACGACCTATATGTTTACTGCAATAGCATGTCTACTTCTGTTCGATTGAATACTCTATGTGTCTTGCTCTCAATCTGTTTATTCCTGTTTTAACTAGACCTATGTGCTTCCATATGAACCAGAGCCATGTCTGTTCTTTCTATCTTATGTTCACCTCTGACCAATATCGCTCCTAAGCCCTGCTATCCCTTTGCATGTGACTGTATCCCTTGGGTAGACCTCATACAATAACTGTCCGAGCTCTGGTGAGATGGACCCCCGCCAATCATCGAGTGGCTGAAAGGAAAAGATAGTAGAAGCGGAAGGAGACTTACTGTTACTTTCTTCTCAAAGAAGTACTTGAGCGTCAGCATCAGACCTCGAACCATTTCGGTTAAAAATAGTGTATTGATGCTTCGCTCAAAAACTGCATTTATTTGACAACTTTCAGCACTGGACAATGCATGAAGCAGTACAGAGAAACCAAATTGCAAAGCTAAGTAGAGGAAAGGCTTTTACCTGAATTCCAATCTTTTGATAACTCCTTTGCTAGCTGCTCTCTTTCTTCATCATCTGATTATGACAAAAGGTAACTAGGATCATTTACATTCTACAAAGAACCCAGAAACTAGATATCAAGAAACAGCTTAACAAATGATCAAGCCCATCAACTCTGATCCAAGTAGTTTCACTTGCATCATTTTAAATCTGGAATAGGTCACCATATTGTATCACGAGATAATAAAGTTTATTTTCACTCTGTCCTTAATCTCAGTGGATAGTGAATATGGACATTCATACTCCAGACATGAACATAAATCTTTTTTGATGTTTGGTTGCAGAGGTCATAGCAAAAAATCATGCACCTCTGGGCACTCATCAGTAGCCAATACAGCATTAGCCTAGGCTCGGTCATCCATATACATGCTTTTATATGTTAAAATATGCAAAGTAAAATGGGCTTTTGACCTGGGGGATTGTGGGATGACTGGAGAACTTGGCAAATACCTTTATCAGTAGAAAACGAATGCTTGGTAGCAAATGAGCGGGTACCAAGCAGAGTCCCACTGGGGGCATTAGTCCCTTGCAATGCTTGTCCTGCCAAAACCTGTATTTCCCAAACAAAGAAGAAGCAACCAAACCACTTAGTTTTGAGCCTTTGAGACACTTTATAAACACATGCGCACATGTTTGTGTTGTAATACACACCAAAAGCCTAAAGTAGCCAAGTAACCATCACCTCTCTCCTCTCCACCAAAGTTTCCCAAACAGACAGAGATTATATTAATGGTGTCAATCATGAATAAAAGTTAGCAACAAAAGATATCCATTATATTCTTGCCTTTTTCCTTTTTCACCTCCCCCCAAACCTATTCTTCCCCTGACTCATTTAAGCGAATTCAAATATCAGATCAGCCAAAATATCCTATCATGGTATGCATTGTAAGGGAAGGAACAAATGGAAATGCAGCAAAATACCATTCTTTATCCCTACTTTTTTCAGATATTGTTCCAGAATAATGAAAATGTGCCTTGAAGGAACTCCAATCTGAAAAATAACGGTATGCAAAGCAAAGGTGTCGAATAGATTTGGCATCCCATAGTGTTCGATGGCAAAGAATTAAAAGCAAACACTAATTTTACAAGACAAGGAAATTCTCCTCTCAAGCATAAGCTAAGGGTACATGGATTATGGCAAAAGCTTACAGTGACATAATCGAGTGACATGCAGGTAAGTTTCAATTAAACAATTAGCTTCTTCTCAACCCAAACTATGGGTTTCGCTATGAATCATCTACATCCATTATCTCTATCCAAACTTAATTTCCTATACAGTATAGGGAGAGAAAGAAGGACTCGCATATGGTGTTCATCGACTTACAAAAGGCGTACGATAAAGTTCCGAGGGAGGTTTTGTGGAGATGTTTGGAGGCTAGAGGTGTACCTGTTGCCTACATTAGGGTGATTAAGGACATGTATGATGGAGCAAAGACCTGAGTGATGATGGTGGATGGGGACTCGGACCATTTTTCGGTTATGATGGGGTTGCATCAGGGGTCGGCACTCCTCTTTTTTTTTGTTTGCCCTAGCGATTGACGTACTAACGCACCACATCCAATGGAGGTGCCGTGGTGCATGCTATTTGCAAATGATATTGTATTGATTGACGAGACGCGAGGCGGTGTGAATGTGCAGTTAGAGATATGGAGGCAGACCCTGGAGTCTAAAGGTTTCAAGTTGAGCAGGACAAAGACAGAATACTTGGAGTGTAAGTTCAGTGGTGAGATTCAAGGAGGGGAAGGGGATGTGAGGTTGGACTCACGGGTCATCCCTAGGAGAGGAAGTTTTAAGTACCTTTGGTCTATTATTCAGGGGGATGAGGAGATTGATGAGATGTTACACATCGTATTGGGGGAGGGATGGATGAAATAGAGGCTCGCTTCCGGTGGTTTGTGCGACAAGAAGGTGCCGCCGAAACTTAAAGGTAAGTTCTATAGAGTGGGGTCAGACCGACGATGTTGTATGGGGTTGAGTGTTGGCCAGTCAAGATCGCTCATGTCCAGAAGATGAAAGGTAGCAGAGATGAGGATGTTGAGATAGATGTGCGGGCACACCAAGTTAGATAAGATTAGAAATGAGGTTATTCGCGACAAGGTGGGTGTGGCCCCTATTGAGGACAAGATGCGGGAAGTGCGGCTTAGGTGGTTCGGTCATGTGAGGAGGAGGAGGAGCACAGACGCCCCGGTGAGAAGGTGTGAAAGGTTGACATCGGAGGGCCTACAGAGAGGTAGAGGTAGGCTAAAGAATAGGTGGGGAGAGGTGATTAGGCAAGACATAGCGCAACTTCCGCTGACCGAGGACATAACCCTTGATATGAAGGTATGGAGGTCGAGGATTAGGGTAGTAGAGTAAGTAGTCTAGAATGTTCATAACAATAGTATTGGCACACATTCTCTCTTTTTGTTGGTAGTAGGTTTTTATGACTAAACGTTGTTTTCTTTCATTGTTGATCACCTTACTATCTTGTTGTCTTTATTCTGCTTTTATATGGCTTTTGGTACTGTCCCTTCTTGTCTATATTTTAATTAATGTGGTGCTTATGCTTTCCTGAGCCGAGGGTTTATTGGAAACAGCCTCTCTATCCTCACAAGGTAGGGGTAAGGTCTGCGTACGCACTACCCTACCCTGACCCCATAGTGTGGGATAATACTAGGTATGTTGTTGTTGTTGTACTGTGCAGGTAAGTTTAACGTCAATAATAACATCAGGGTTTCAAGAAGCTCTAGGAGCTAGCAAGGATTATGAAATGGTTAGATGCACATAATTCTACTGAAATTGGAATATGTAGAGAATATATAAATGTTTGAGTGTTTTTTCACGTGGTCATAGTTCAATCCAATAATAGGATTTGGTTTTTGAATACTCCGATGCATATTTTGATTATATACAAAGTTTACACCCTCCGAGTTTGCTTTCAAGCTGGTTAGATTATTCTAGTGTTCCTTCAAAAAATTATAAGTGTAGGAGTAGTGTACTCCTATATACAATTTCTCTTATGATCAAGACTAATTCTAGGTATAGATTGTAACTTCCTAGATGGAGACCTGATTCTTTAAGCATATTGACAACACGTAAAGAATCTTTCTCTAGTACTAGTTTATTCGACCATGATAAACACACCACGGTACCCCCAAATAGATCTGCTGCAAGAACAAGGACCAATTCTCCATTTTTTGTTCCTAACAATTCCTCATCTATGTTGTTCGGACTCTTCGAAAATGTTGTTGAGTGCGTGTCGGATCCTCCAAAAATAGTGCACTTTTGGAGGATCTGACGATGGTGCGGCACCATTGTCAGTGCAACATAGTTCCTCATATCCTGGAACTCACAATTGCATCACTACTGCCATCAATGTTAACTTAAGCATATTATCTTATTGCTCTCTCTAATATAGTTGATCTGCTAGTGAGCTTAGGCTCGTAACTTCTACTTCACTGCATATTTTATTCTAGCATCACCAAATTTCTATACTTGACCAACTCATCTTTAAGAATATAGTCAAATAAAAAATAGTTTAACGAATAATCCTTGAAATATAGCATTTTAATCTTTCATATTAGCATAGCACATTGCCTCCAAAACTTCAACCAAGTGAAAATTGGGTGCTTGACTAAGTTGCTCGGACGTTGGTGCAGGTGTCCGATTCGGGTGTGGATAGGTCGGAACCTTCGAGATGTAAATTCTGAGATTCAAGGATACAGATCCTAGTACGGATACGGGTGCGGGGATCCGGTTAAAATTAATTCAAAAAAATAAATATAAAAATATCTAAATTATGAGAAATTTTGTGGAATACTTGCATATAGCTTGTAAAGTGCGGATTTCTTTTTATTCTTAAGTTGTAGATAAGTAAATGATCGATTTCCTAAATAAGATATGTTATATTCTTCAAATTTACCCCGGTATTGGTTCTGATTTCGGGAATCAAATTGTATCTCATCTCGAATTTTTTCGTCCGTCGTGGTTAAAGTACCCAAAAATTGTTCTACCAGATCAGGTACGGATTCCATATCCACACCCATACTAGTGTCGTGTCGACACAGGTGCGGCACTTAAACTGTCGTGTCGAAGCAATTTAGGTGCTTGACACAAACTTTTATGAAGATAATTTTGAGCATTAACCTTCAACCAATTATGTAAAAAGTGTGCTCCTATCTGGCTATGCCAAATAATCCTACAAAATAATTCCATACTATTCTTGCAATATCCCTAAAAATAAAGACATGTTCACCAGTTTTTCGTTCTTGAGGCTGTACGCAACAACTACACTTTCAAACAAGAAAAAGGCAAAAGTTCAATACTATCTCATCCACTAGAATATTTTGTTTAATCACTCTCCTCATTGAAACTGAATTGTGTGGATCCCAGGAGTGACATAGACTTTGCAACAAAATGGTTGTGTCGTCCTTATGCTATTAATACTGTGAAGAATTGGGACATCGGCAATACAAGGAAACAGATGAATATGTTGTGGTTGGGTCAACGATGGGAAGATAACTCTTGATAGTCGCTAGACTTGTTCGAGCTTCTGAACTAGTTGGAATGGATTGTGTAGAATAGTATCACTCAAACAGAGTATCAATGCAATTTGGATTTGTTCAAGATGTGTCCCAATTGGTTTGAACTCATGCAAATGATACCCCACAAATTGCTTGGAACAATTATGAAGACCAATTAAAGATAACAAGCTCTATATACCTTCAGGGCTCTTCGAGTCAAATGTTAGTAGATGATACTTAGAGTGGTGGAAGAACCAAAAATCGCACCTAAAGATGCAGTTAAGCATGAAAGGATACCAAGAATGTCCTTGCGTCACTAAGAAAGATGAATGCCTATGTAAGTGGTTATAAAAAAATATGAATGCCCCTGAATGTTGTGAGTTTGTACAAAAATGTGATGAGGTTAGAATAGACGACAAGTACAACAATGATAATGTGGCTTTAAACTCAACTTGCCTAATAGTTTAGAACTTGCAAATGAGGGTCCAAATGCGAACAGGAGCAATCGTAGATATGCAGAACCTTCAAGTAGTCTTGTCAAATTGAGTTTGCAGATGGGCAAAGATTCAGTGGAAGTACGTAAAGTAACTGCAAAGGGTATCAACAGAACTAAAGGAAATATGCATATGGGAAACACAGCTGGGCACATCTTGATTGAATTCAAATTGCATTGATGCTTCGTTTGGTGATATTGTTTTACACAATCCATTACAACTAGTTCAGAAACTCGAAGAAGTCTAGCGAATATAGAGATTTCTCTTTCCATCATTGACGCAACCACAACATACTCACCTATTTCCTTGTAAAATATTATGTTGTCCCAATTCTTTACAATATCAATAGCATAAGGGTGACACATAACCATTCTGCTGAAGAATGTATGACACTCCTAGGATCCGCACAATATAATTTTTAGCATGGAGAGTAATTAAAACGAAAGTTTCAATGAACGAGATAGTATTAAACTTTTGCCATCTTTTTTTCTCAAAGTGTACTTGTTGCATACAAACCTCAAGAAAAAATGTTGAACATGTCTTTGTTTTCGAGGATGTTGCAAGAATGGTATAGAACTATCTTGCAGGATCATTTGTCATAGCTCAATAGGAGCACGCTCTTGGTACAATGTCACATATTTGGTTGAAGGTTAATGCTCAAAATATAATCTGATGAGGTAAGTGAAATATCATTAAAAAGCAAGGGATTACAAAAGACGGAAGATGTCAGCTCTAATACAAGGTCAATGCTCAAAATTATCTTCATAGAAGTCTGTGTCGAGTCACAAAATTTTCACTTGTTGGGAGTTGTGGAAAGCAATGTGGTCTTTCCACTTGAAATATTCTTGAAGACGAGTTATCCAAAGATACTGATTTGGTGGTTTTGGAATAAAAGTAAAATATAAGTATGCGAACCTAAGCTCACTAACAAGCCAATTATATGGAAAAGAGCGATCAAACAATATGATTTAATTAAACATCAATGGTAGCAGTGACGCAAGTATGAGTTCCTGGATTGGAGAAATCGTTAGGAACAAAAAATGGAGAATTGGTCATAGCTTTTGCTAAAACTCTCCAATTTCAAGTAACAAAAAAATGGAGGATTGGTCTTGGCTTTTGCTAAACCTCTACAATTTCAAGTAGCTTCACTTGGTGTGTTTATTGTGGTTTAATATCACCTAGTAACTAGATTAGTCTTGATCATACGAGAAACTATAAAAAGAGTACATTACTAGTACACTTAGAATCTTCTTGAAAGCACACCAGAACAATCTAACCAACTTGTAAAAGATGAGTAATAGGTCAACCTACCATCACCCTCTTCCTTTATCCAGATTCACCAAAGCACAAAAGATAAGGATGTTAAGGCAGCTCACATAAAGCCACCTTGAGGAACGCCATATGATGATTAGGATACAAGAAACGACGAGGGGGAGGGGGGATTATCCAACTCTAATTATTTTAAGAGTGTGCTTGGTACGAAGGATAATGTTTTCCTTAGAAAATATTCTTTCCAGAAAATGTTTTCCGGTGTTTGGTTTGACTGAGCGAAAATACTCTGGGAAACATTTCTTAAACATTGATAAAAAGGTCCAAATATTGGATGTGTTTTGCATTGAAAATTTTGATGAAATTTTTACCTGAAATACCAATAATAATGTCTAGGCGTTGGTTAGAACAAGTAGTATGGAGTATGAATTGAAATATCTGCAGAGAAAATTAGGTCCGCTCTTAAGTGATGAAAGTCAACTTCTAGGTTTTAATTGGAAATGAATAATATTCTATGACTAACAATTTATCACGTGGATCGACTACGCGAAGCTCAGATAATGAATCCCAACTAATTTGGGATCGATTGGATGATTAATGGATTGGAATTTGTAAAAAAGAGAATGGAGACTTACAAGCTGACGAGAACGTAAAGCAGACAGAGATTTGCGAGCTAAAATGGCGGCCATTAGAGGTGAAAATGGGGGTTCTTCAGAACCAGAGCGATCGAGCAAGAACTGAAAAGCTCGCTTTTGGTTAAAACCTTACGTTTTACTATTTTCTAATACTGCTGTACGGTTTTTAACCATATTTAATAAATTACACCATATTTTGATTTATCGTAGTTAATTGAAGTAAGAATTTATATTAATTAATTTAACTATTAAAAGAAAGTGATAAAATGTTCTGCGTTTGTATCTATCGTTGATGTATAAATCAAGTGTGAATAAATTTTTACAATTACATATATGTAATAAAACAATAAAGAAGAGTATTGCAAAGAAAGAGAGAGATAATTCTTATTGCTCTTGGGATGAATTACAATGGAATAAAACCCTCTATTTATAGGGAGATGGTGACTTAGCCACCAAGTAATAAATCCTAGAATCTCTCTAAATATAGACATTCACCATAAATAAAATTTTATTTATAACACTCCCCTTGAATGTCTATTCAACAGATAATGTGCCTCGTTAAAGCCTTAACTAAAATAAAACTCAATGGGGAAAAAAATCTAGTAAAGGAAAAAGAGTACACACATCTAACAATACGCCTTTTGGTTGTCTCGTTAAAAACATTGCAAGGAAAACCCAGCGGGACAAAACCTTGCAAGGGAAAAAGAGTGCAACGCGCATTAACTCCCCCTGATGATAGCATCAATTCACATCCTCGAGTCTTCGCATCCCAATCTTGTACACTAGCTTCTTGAAGGTTGACGTCGGTAGAGACTTGGTGAACAAATCGGTCATATTATCACTTGAACGAATTTGTTGCACATTGATATCACCATTCTTTTGAAGATCATGAGCAAAAAATAATTTTGGTGAAATATGCTTTGTCCTGTCTCCTTTTATGAATCCTCCCTTCAATTGGGCTATGCATGCTGCATTGTTTTCATACAAAATCGTAGGTAGTTTGTCACATTTCAAACCATATTTGTCTCGAATAAGATGTATTATAGACCTCAACCACACACACTCTCGACTTGCTTCATGAATAGCAATTATCTCAACATGATTAGATGAAGTAGCCACAATTGATTGCTTAATCGATCGCCAAGATATGGCAGTGCCTCCAGTGGTAAACACATAACCTGTTTGAGATCGAGCCTTGTGTGGTTCAGATAAATACCCAGCATCGGCATAACCAACAAGATCAGGACTGCAATTATTGCCATAAAATAAGCCCATATCGATAGTCCCTTTTAGATACCGCAATATGTGTTTGATTCCATTCCAATGTCTCCTTGTGGGAGCAGAGCTATATCTTGCTAAGACATTAACTGTCACGACCCAAAATCCATTAAGGGTCGTGATGGCGCCGGACACCGCTGTCAGGCAAGCCAACCAAATACTTAATTAAACTCCAATTTTAACAATTTTGAAAACCAAGATTTTCCTTTAAATTTCATCAGTAAAAAGATAACTGCTTCAATTCAAATTAAATACTCGTAATCAATACAAAAATATTTAAAAACCATCCCAGAACCCGGTGTCACAAGTGCATGAGCATCTACTGATAAGGAAAATAAAATACAATACGACATCCGCCCGGAATACAGTGGACAGAAAGAAAATACAATTTACTGGAAGGGACTTCACTAGCTGCGGGCCGCCTCGAACAATGCAACTTACCTAGTCCCCGAATCATCCGTGCTGCTATGCCCAGTGGGCTGCTAGAGATAAATATACATGTGCAACAAAAATACACAGAAGTGTAGTATGAGTACGTAAACAACGTGTACTCAATGAGTATCCCGTCTAATCTCGAAGAAGTAGAGACGAGATGGTCAACTTCGACACTTACTAGAGGTCAATTGACAATATACTAAAAATGTGAGGAAATCATGGATTTATATAGCAGTCCTAATTCACGAAGCCAGAAAACAGGTAAACACCTTCAACAAATAATCAAGAATTTTCAAGGTTTACTTTTTATTATCTTATAAATTTATATCAAGCCACGAAGGTCAAATTTCACATTTAAAATTCTCAAGCAACAGTATAACATGCGCAAATCACACCGATGCGACGGCCCGATCCAACAGAAATAAACTGTGCACTTGCCGAGGGTCGACGGCGCGCCTATAGATGCATCTATTTAATCAGCCGAGGCGTTCGGCCCGTTCAATAAATAAACATATAACCTACTCGCGATCATGCATGCGACGCAGGTACACATAGAGATACATGCTCAATCAGTCAATTAAGAACTTATCGGGAATATTTATCCAAATAAAACAATTTCTCTTTTTAACAATTCAGGAAAAATGATGTTTAATCTCCTTTTTAAATTCATTTACTAATGCAAGGTGATTTAAGCAATTCAAGTTATCAATAGGTTCATAAATAATCCAAGTATAACATGCTTTTGGGCCCTAACTACCCGGACAATGGCATAATAGTAGCTACGCACGGACTCTCGTCACCTCGTGCGTACGTAGCCCCCGCAAATAGGAGCACATAATCAATTATTTTACCTATGGGGACAATTCCCTCTTACAAGGTTAGAAAGGAGACTCACCTTGCTCCGAAGGTCCATAACCGGCATTCCACGCCCTTCTGAAGACTCTAGTTGATGCACCACGCTCCAAAACTAGCCAACGGTTACGCAAATCCATTAATATATGCTCAATTAATCATTACAATCTAATTTATAGAAATTCCTAACTCCGATCGAAAAGTTGCCCAAAACGCCCTCGGGCCCACGTGCCCAGAATCTGAAATTTTTTGAAGATAAAGATTACCCATGACCTTAGGAACTCAAATATATAATTTTTACTAAATTCCATACTCAATATCGTGGTCAAATTCGAAGAAATGCCAATTTCTAGGTTTTCCACCAAAACCTAAATTTTTCCATAATTTCCTTGCCTAAATCCATGTATAAACTTTGTATTTAACTCAAAGCTAGCATAAATTACTTACCTCATGATGAGTGACGAAAATGGCACCTCAAAGCTGCTCCCCATCGACTCCAATGGAAGAAAATGGGGTTGAAATGAATCCAACCCCAAATTTTAAAAGACCTCACCGCCTCAGTTGGTTCCGCACCTGCGGTCCCTTGATGCTTCTGCGGTTCTGCAGGTGCGGTTAAAATGCCGCATTTGCGGTCCTCCCTAGGCCGCCCTCTTTCGCTTCTGCGATATGCCTTCCGCGGATGCGGTCCCGCTTCTGTGGAACTCTGACCGCATCTACGGTCCACTCCAAGCCGCTCACTTCCGCTTCTGCGACCACTTTTTCGCAGATGCGGTCCCGCTTCTGCGGAACCTTGACCGCATCTGCGGTCCTCGAGCCCTTGACCAAAAATTGCTTCTGCGGCTCCCTTTCCGCTTCTGCGGGGCCGCTTCTGCGGTTAACCCACCGCAGAAGCGAAAATACCAGCAACCAGATCCTTCAGCTGTCCAAAAATCCCAATTTCGATCCGTTAACCACCCGAAATCCACCCGAGGCCCCCGGGACCCCAACCAAACATACCAACCAATCCCAAAAAACATTACGGACTCGCTCGAGGCCTCAAATCACATCAAACAACTCTAAGATCATGAATCGACCTCCAATCCAAACTTAATGAACTTCAAAAATTCAAACTTCTATTTCCGATGTTTAGACCTATCAAATCACGTTCAATTGACCTCAAATTTTGCGTACAAGTCATATTCGATATTACGGACCTACTCCAACTTTCGAAATTGGATTCCGACCCCGATATCAAAAAGTCCACCTCCGGTCAAACTTCTCAAAAACCTTAAAATTTCTATCTTTAGCCAAATGGTTCCGAAATGACCCACGGACCTCCGAATTCACTTCCTATCGCGCCCCCAACTCCGGAATCACCATACGGAGCTATTCACAGTCTCGGAATCCCAAACGGACATCGATAACACTGAAATGCACTTCAAGCCAAATTTATGAGATTTCTTCTAAAATGCTAACTTCCACAATAGGCGCCAAAACGCTCCCGGGTTATCCGAAACCCGAACCGGGCATACGCCCAAGTCCGAAATCATCATACGAACCTGCTGGAACCTTCAGATCCCGATTTCGAGGCCGTCTACTCAAAAATCCAATTCTAGTTCATTCTTTCAACTTTAAGCTTCCGAAATGAGAATTCTCCTGCCAATTCAACTCTGGACTTCCCAAAATTCAACTCCGACCACGCGCACAAGTCATAATACCTGAAATGAAGCTGCTCACGGCCTCAGACTGCTGAACGGAGTGCTAGAGCTCAAAACGACCGGTCGGGTCGTTACATTCTCTCCCACTTAAACATACGTTCGTCCTCGAACGTGCTGAGGACTACACTGAAGTAGTCTGAAATCACCGGTTAACTTCGCATGCACCTTCCCGTGCTACCACCACTCAGTTGAGCACATTAGCTCAATTAGTTCTGAAGATATTCCCTTTTATTCAAGCAGATAGGCTTAGAGCCTAATTCCAACATCCGGAATTCTCTGTCAGGCCTGTTTCCAACATACGAACACCGTATCAATCACTACACGCTGTACCCAAACATGACTGCATAACTTTGCTAAATTCACACCTTGCATCATTTTACTCACCGGACCACAATAATATTTTCTGCTCAACTTAGTCGAAATTCCCCGAATCTGATACTCCCATTGCACCCCATGACATACATAGGTCTTACTCTAACTCTTACAATACCGCCACAACGGAAGAGATGTGCAGAAATTCATGATCAACTGCCGAATCAACCAATCATTTGGGTCTATACTCCTGACAATAACCATCACCTCATTCTGAGCCAAATAATGGTCTTAGCTCCTTAATGTACTTTACATAGTCAGATTGCACTGATCCTAAATCCAATGATCTCGTCTCACCCAGTACGAACTGCTCAGGCAATAAGCCACCCCGACATGACCAAAAGTCCCATATGATGCTACAATGTGCCAATAGGCTACCATAACGAACGCGATATAAAGGAAAGCAACTTTGAGAAGGAAACTCAACTACACCGCTCGCGAATCATACATGCGACGCGGTGGACTTAATTAACAAACACCACGCTCGCGAATCATACATGCGACGC